CGCGTCAGTCTAGTTTTGTACAGTGCTAGATATACAGATTTGTTAAATTTTTTGTTTTTTCACATTATTCAATAAAAGTACACTTTTCGTGCACACATTTTATCTCGATTTTTGTCAGCCGTAGTAATAGAGCACGGGCCTTTCTGTTCACTAAACTACTACGGAGCTTGACACCTGTAGCTGAAAAACATATAGTTGACTTCCTTTTTCTGAGTCATATGTGTAGGGGAGTTTACCTGTATAATTTGTGACAAGTAACAAACATTCTTTCATCACATTTTGTTGCCTATACTTTTATTACTTTGTAAAGATAGGTAGGGATATCGATTATTTCAATGCCCAAGCATAACTAGAGAGGGTTTAAGGTTCACGAAAGTTTTAAGTACAATTTCGCCTAAAGTATTACCAAATTTGAAGCACTGATTAAATCGTATATATTCCATTTCATATCATATTTGAAAGATATAGATGTTCATTTAATATTGTAGAAAATATCACCTTTAGCTCTGTAAATATTTTGGATAAAATGAGCACTGAAATTCAGTTCAGCTATAATAAACCCGTCGATTGGAGAATTATAGACGAAGGTCTTTGTTTGGAAGGCAAATGCAAAAACTCGCTTTGTGTGGCATTCAACCAAATGGTTATTATTAACAAAGGCATATGTGCTTTTGATTTTATATTGGATGCTTCAGAAGATTTCAGTTATTGTCCCATGTGTAGTGAACAAGTTCAACCAACGAAATATGGATTTAACCGGTGTGAATGGAAGATACGTGGAGCATATACTCTCAGAAAACGCGGCTTTAATAAACTTGTAGAGCAAGATTTTGTTAGTATCAAAGACTCGTATCAATTATTTGACTTTGACTTCAGTATTCCATGGCTAACATTCGCTATTGTCACAAGACCGAATTCTTTTGTGAATAATGATAAATCAACAGTTGATAAAGTAGAGTATATTGAACTTAGCAAAACACATGGTGAAACATGTGCAATATGCTTATCGGATATTAAACACGAAGACGAATGGGTACTGCCATGTAACCACGTTTTTCACAGTGATTGTATCAATAAATGGCTTCATTCTGGCGAAGATGGAGCTGAATTATGTCCGTTGTGTCGAGAAGATATCTCATTATACTCATGAATATTATCATCTTTATCAATACCACAAATTCCTACTGGTGAATTTGTGTTTTTGAACACTCCAGAAAAAGTTCTGTACCCTTTTCTCCAATCCTCCAGGTGAAACTTGAACTTTCCAGAGCTTGAATTGAAAACGCTTAAGAAAAATTTGTATTCTGAGATAGGGTCTAAAGTATCTGGGGTAAAAGTTTGAGGTCGATCGGACCATTTTTTCGAGAGGCCATAATGTGACTGCTTGAAGGAACTATCGAAAAAATGCATAGTGAGAAAACACGTATTCTACATAGGGCTCTGGTTTTTAAGGCATTTGCGTTGATGCGTATATTTTCGCGAAAACTCATCAGAAAATTCTGGAAGACGTCTCATTGAAGAGCACATTTTCTTCTATCGTGTGGAATATAAAAAGAAATTTTGAATATATAAGAATAGAGAGAAAAATTTATGAACCTAAGAAATTGAGATTTTCGAGGTTTTGAAGGAAAAACTTTAAAACTTCATAATTTTTTCAAGAAAGATCATGAAGAGCTGAGAGTGGTTTCACTTGATAGCCCCTCCATATTATACTATGTTCAGCTCAAAATGAAACTTTCCTGCAAAAAAGAGGGAGAGTGAGGGTACCCTTGATGCTTTGATCGTTTTTCAGGCAAGTAAACTGCATTTTTTTTAATTATTTCAATAATACAAACAAAAGTTCTACTCAGTTTTTTTATGTTTTATAACAGGCCATCAACTACTGTTTAGTATACAGAAGCAGTAATGTTGTATTTTCTGCAATACTAGTCACTTACCTTTATCTATTTCACACGGTTAAATAATTGGACATATCTTATAGTTTTCAGAAGAGTTTTGGTGAGCATTCCGGAAAAAACCCTGCCCATAATAGAAGACCAAGTGGTCTTTTATTTTGTCCGACAACTCCAAACTTTGAGGGTGGTCTTCTATTGCGGTCAAATTTTATCGCCTGCTAGTAGTTCAACGATAGAAGACTGGTCTTCTATTTGGCTTTCAAGTCATATGATCGACAGTGGTCTTCTAATGAGAGACGGTATTCTATTACGGGCAGGGGCAGGCCCGTAGCCAGAATGGGTGCCTGTTGTGCCCGGGCACACTCCATAAGTGAAACTTGCTCTTTAACTGCTGTGAAAACAATCACATTTGATTTCTAAAAGAAATCACTGACTTCAACTGTCTTTCTTTCACAAACATTTAGTGAATAAAACCTAAAGGGCAGTTGTTTAACTGATTTCTTCTAGATTTTCGTACCTCCTTAGATTTCTCATCTCATTTTCCGAATTTTGCAATAAAATAGTCAATACATATTTTGTAGAGAATTGAACGCGTTATATTTTGGTAACATATATGAGGAAGAGGAGAAAAACTGAAAATACTAACTCTATGATTCATTTTGGGCCACCCGTTATATCTCCGACTTTAACAGAAATAATAGTGGCCTATTATTTGAAAATATCTGCTGCTTGGAATCCTAGCAGAAAATAGTTCTTTTCGCACAGATGATAGTAAGTAGTAAGTAAAAGAATAGAGTACAGAATTCAATCGTCGTACCGAATATAGACACAACAGTAGATCTAGGTTTGCGGTTTCTGCAAAGCTTAGTTCATGTGTTCGAATCTCTATTCGTACAAAATTGATTTTGTGTTTTTCGATAGTTTTAGTTTAGAATACTATAATGGAATATTGCTCAATAGTAAAACGACAAGGAGAAAACTTGAAGAAAATCTAAATACGGAACCCTACAGATCAACCGATGAGGGTTCTTCAACATTTTTCATAGAACAGGAATTATTTACGTTATGAAACTAAAAACTTTTCTTTTAATGAAAATGTTTCTTTTAATGCCTTCGGCTGTTTTTTTCGATTGAGGTGGATCAATCGAAGGAGACATTCTGCCCAGCCGAAACTATGGCAACATGTACAGAGGAACCTAGCATAACAATAACTTAACTATAGATTTTTCCTAATGAACTTACAAGATCACAAATTTCTTTCGCCTAACTAGTACGGATGCGAAATAAAACAAAATTTCATCCTATCGACTAAGAACGCCGCTTATATACAATGGCACTGTAAGACTTCTATAATTTTTTATGTTGCATATTGCATTTAGATAGCAAATTTTTATATTAACAACATAGTAGCAGATTTCACGCATTTGTAAATAAAGAGATAACTTAAATAGTGCTCGACTTCGATATTGTGAGTTGGTAATACCAACAAGGATTTCAGAATGAGGAGCACAAGGATACCAATTTGCTATCCTTTGTCATTCTATTGCCTTTTCCTTCTTATACTGAGGATTTGACAGATAAATGGATGGCACACTTGGATTTTTTCTTTTTACATTACACCCCTCGTTTGGGATATACTTTCTATAAATAACGCCCTGTATGTTTTAAAAGTTCGTCTTTTTGCATACGATTCTCATTCAATTTGGTGAAGATAAGACATCATCAAATCGCTGCCGTCAACGTCAAAACACGTAGAATCTGACGACTAGGTAATAGGGTTTGGCAATGACTTATCGTCACCATTCAATTTTCCTAGTACAACAGTGATTCATGTTGTTACGGTAACCTCCTCTGAAATTTCCATTTTTACCTTTGTTTTTTCCTTTTACTATGTTCAGTTGTATAGAAACAGTAATCTATTCGAATCGAAGTATTTCCGTCACATTACTTCGGACACAGCGTCATCTATGTCGCTTGTGTAAGTACGCGCAAAGAAACTCGCTTCACTCCGGTTATCAATTATTTCCCTTAGTAGTGCACAACAGTTCTCAGGATGTTGTAGTTTATTTTGGATCAGTGTAAAAAACTGGATTCGTTTCCGTTGTCGCCCAACAACTGCTCATTTCTCTTCTCTGTCTCTCTTGCGTTCAAAGAAGTTCTTGTCCTTGTCCTTCACCTCGTTTTGTACATATTTTTTCTTTGACAATTCTTGATTTGATCATAGAGTCCTTGCGCTGATGGTTGTGCAGAAGATATACAGCAAAAGATTTTAACCAAAAAACAGGTAGAAGAATATTTTTTCTACTGAAAAATACTTAATTTTATTTTTCTTCTCTATCATCATTACTCACACAGGATGGGTTTTTATTTTTATTTTTTTATTACATCAGTCACGTATTATTTGTTAAATTATTTTAAACATAGCTCACACATTTATGTAATCATCATTTTTTCATTCAGTACATAGGCATCATCAACAAAGAGAAACACAGAAAATGGCAACAAGTATTGCTCCACAAAAGGAGCTTTGCCGGTTAGTAGTTTTTAAAAGATTATTAAACATAATGGTTAATAGGATGATATCGCTTTTCATGTTTCATTTAGATATTTTCTGAGCAATGTATGTCGTTTTGGTGATCGATGTATGTTTTCACACGATAGAAACTCGGCAAAACCAAACAATATTTGTCGATATTATTTACAAGGAAAATGTGCATATGGAGATCAGTGCAGGTGAGCGAAATAAATTAAAAAGAAGAGTGTTTGTTTACTGTTTTAAAATAGAGTAGAACGAGCATATTCCAAGTGCTCTTCTAGACTAACTTGATCAGATGAGATTGACCAATATAGTCGAATTTTCTTTTCTACATATTATGCAAGAGAGAGAGACTAAATATTTGTCTTAGTAGAAAGTTTTGAAGATTATTCAAGTACTGGCTATCGCTAATAATGCGCTATAGTAGTAGCAGTAGTACAAATATTTTCTCGAGAACAAATGAAGTTATGTCTAGTCACTATTAGCTATAAAATGATGATTTGTATTTTTTTCTTCTTAGATATGACCATGTTCGTCCAAAACCAAATACATCATCACATCCAATCATTCTATCTCAGACACCTCAAATTTATTATTCTCCAGAGAATGATTATTCAGATCCAAAATTATTGCCATTGGCTCATTCAGTATCGAAAACAAATGGTGTGTCATCTAGTTTGATTTCCAGAAGTGATGATATTTATTTTGTTATTTATTTCTTTAAAGGATGTACTTCTTATGCAGATATATTGCGTGGAGTGGATTCACTATCATTAGCAAATCACAGTAATTTTGATATTCAAACACAACAGCAACCTCCTTCTTCTCAGACAGTTTATTTATCATTACAATCTTTGTGTCCATATTCTGAAAAAGACGGTTATTGTGAAGCAAAAGAACATGGCGGTTATTGTCCATATATTCACGGAAATTTATGTGATTTATGTGAAATGCCCTGTTTACATCCATATAACGAAAAACAGCAAGAGGAACATAGACTGGTATGTGGCAGCGGGACTTTAGGAAGGAGAGATGCTTTTTGCTTTGTTTGTTGTGAACACTCAGTTATTTTTTTGTACCTTTTCTCACGTGTCCAGCTTGTATGTTACCTTTCGATCATTTTTTTCATCATCTTTGAATGTTGTGTTAAAAAAAAGATCTTTTTTCATCTGATTCAATTTACTTGGGAATCAGTTATCTATTCTTTATCCAGTTTTAGACTACTAACAGATGTTTTATTCTCCCTGAGATTTTGTGATGCTAAATTAGACTACTAAAGTATTTTGTTTACATACCTCGCTTGGGTATTAGTCGATCATCTTTGTATGTATTGAACGAGAAAAAGAATATTAATCTTTACCTGCCAGTTCTAAAAGTTAGAAGTTTTTCTACAAATCATATAGTAGAGTCGGTTACTGAAAAGCTTTTCATTGTTGTTCTAATTTATTCAGTCTCTAGAACATACCGGTAGGAAATTGATTTTATCTCTCGATGATTATTTATTTTTCGTTGTAAATTGTCTAAGAGTATAAATAATTTTAATTGGATGGATTTTCAATGCTCTTGAGTCTATCTGATATTATCTATGCTCAAGATATTTTTCATCTCCATAACTACAGAAATTTAAAATGTAAAATATTTTCTATCTAAACATAATTTTTTTGTTTATTTTAGGAATGTATGAAAAAACATGAGACAGCATGTGAAGAAGCATTTGCCATTCAACGTAGTCAAGATAAAGTTTGTGGAATATGTATGGAAACTGTTTGGGACAAAGAAGATGGTGATAAACGATTTGGAATACTAGAACAATGTAATCATGTTTTCTGTTTGGAATGTATTCGGAAATGGAGATCATCATCAAACTATGAACATAAAGTTGTCAAAGGTTTGTCTCTATTTTTATAGCCTTCTATGATTTTAGTTTTATTTTATCATTTACTCTATTTCTAGCATGTCCTGAATGTCGAGTAAAATCAGATTTTGTTACACCAGCCAAATATTGGCACGAAAATGATAATGAAAAGAAAAAAATTATTGAAGATTATAAAGCACATTTACAGTATGTATCAGAATACTTTTTTTTTTAAACGATCGATGTTCGAACAAGAAATGATCACGAGTTCTAATCGTGCAGAGATGAGCGAGTACACAATTGTTCAAGTATTATTATTCAAAACCTGAATTGATTGCAAGATTTCTAAAAGCAAGAGAAGGATTCATTTTTACATTGCGATGATTACTCTTTCTTAATGACCACTTTGAAAGATTTACTTCTATAGTGTCAATATCTTTTTCTTCTGTCTTTATTAGTAAAAAAACACACACAGGTATGTAGAACTTTCTATTCTCTTTCCGTACGTGTGTCCACATTTAAAAAATATATGTAACGAAAGAAGGAAAGATCCTCTTATTTTGAATAACTCTTTTAGTCATATTTAAAAGAAGTTATTATTAAAAACAAGTAATCGCGTACTTTTCTGAGTAATCATTAAAAAATACCAAGTGTATGTATTACACTCGAGTAGACCTGTGCACTGGTCGGAAAATCGGTGGCGCGTGTAACAAAAGTTTTCCGACCAGCAGCGGCAGCAGAGCCTCGTTAAAAGATTTTCCGCCTTCGGCAACGGTGGCTAAAGAAAAATGTTCAATCGGCAGAGGTTAAAAGATTATTTAAAACTTTGGATCGTCAGCGGAGAGGCGCAACGAAATTTGAATATGAAACTTAGCTTAAGCCAAGATCCATTGTCAACTTCATCAAACTTTTTATTTTTTCAATCAAAATAATGAGGCTAAAACAAGTTTGTACGGAGAGGACATCCAAAAAACTTCGGTAGCAACGCCGAAAATCAAAAAAAATTATCCTTCGGAGGTGGCGAGAGACTCCAGAAAAGTTCAACGCCTTCGGCGGCGGTGCCAAAAATCTTAGTTATTAATCAGCGACGCGGCGCACAGGTCTACGCTCGAGTAGCACTCGTCCATCTCTGTCGTAATGAAGTCTTAAAACGAGAGAAAAGACATCTAATGCATTATATCTAGCATATCGTTTAAGTTTTCGAATGATGTGCATCATTTTAAACAGTACAATGTAGAACAAAACAATAGGCTATGTTATTAACTTAGACTTGTTAGCAGGATTTATTCTTTTGTTCATTTTAGATCAATGCACTGTAAACATTTTAAACGTGGTGATGGTCATTGTCCATTTGGCTCAAAATGCTTTTATTTACATGCTGATAAACAAGGCAATCCTGTTACATTAGCACCACCGAGACGTCGTAGACGATTGAATGCTCGTGGTGAACTAGAAAATTTTAGTGATGTATTAATGGTCAGTGTATTTTCACATGAAGATTTCGGACGAATATTTGATGAATATGACTTTTTATTTGATGATGAAGATTCAGATGATAATTTATCGGATGGAGATCCAGATAATGATAGACAAAATACGGGTGTAGGCGCAAGAGACTTTCCATGGGTAGATGATAATTCATTTACGGATGAAGATGAAAACGGTCTAATAAATTTTTGGTAGAAAGATGAGAGACGATATTCTTATGTGTATTTATCTATCTGTCTCGATTCGAATATGTTTATTTCTCTTCTTTCTCTCTCTCTTTCTCTCTCGCTCGGCTAATCCTTGTGTGTGTTTCTTTGTTTGTCATTGAAATTCATTTATTTATATCTTCTCTTTACTATACTATAGGCTATGCGTGTTTAGGGTGGTTGTATAATCCTATCATTATGTAGTATTCTCGATATTCAATATTATTATCATCATCTTTGTTCTTGTATATGAGGTTGTTCAAGTATCATAACATTTTTTTCCTAGATAAAACAGCATTTCACTCTTTTCGTCACAGACGAGTAATTCTTTTTGAATCACTGGAGTGGCATACTTAGTTTTTGATTGGAGACGAATGAATACTATGTGCCAAATTGAGAAAATCCACTGTACTATTATTGAGAGTATTAGTTTTATATAGGTTAATTCATTTACCTTTTGGCAGCTAACAAACTTCTTCATAACAAGACTTCTTCGAGCTCTAGACAATATAATCTTCTGTTGTTTCATGTGAATTTTTCTGAGCGGAAGAAAATAATCTTCATTGTCCACAAGATGGTAGCACGTGCTTCTATGAAATCTACTTTACGGTATTATTTTATTGTGATGATACGAAGTGAAGATTTTTTGCTCTCGTCTACTGAAAAACGCTTATGCTTGTTTTCTATTATAAATTGCATGATACTTGAGCAACCTTTATGTTTATTTTTTTGCCATCATCATTAGAAAAAAATTTTTTTTTGTGCATATTCAAGAAAACGAAAAGCTGTTTCTTTCTGTAATCACATCCACTTATAAAATATGATATCTATAAAAGAAAATGAATAATTAATTTATATATCTTTCAATTTTGGCTCAGAAAAATGTTAGAGCAAACATCAAGAACAATCGAAAGTCTAAATAAAGTACTAAATGATTGCTTCGAATTTCAAGTAGTTGTCTCATTGCATTTTATTACTTTTCTGTAATCAAAGCATATTAAAACTGTTCACAAAGCTGTTATATTTGGAACATATTATTTTTATGTGCTTCTATTTTGTGCCAAATATTTGTTGATGGTAAAATCACTTTTAACAAAAGAGTGGGTAGCTTAAATACGTTTCAAACTAAACAGCCACCACGAATAAATAAGTCAATTAATTTACTTGAATACCATTTTTTTCTCTGTAATTCCTTCTGTTTTCCGTAATTTATTTTCGTATTTCAAACTAACGTTTGAAGATATAATTGGTCGTTTTTCAATAAATTCATACACTTTTTCCAACGTTCGGTGGTGATATATCATCAGATTATGCTGATACACCTGAAACAACAAGAATGTAAGAAAAGATCATCATTTCACACACGAGAGAACCTCTCGAAGTGAAAATCGTTTTTGGACTTAAACTACTATGATAAGATAGAGTAATGATAGTGAGTAATGAAAAACAACAAAAGGATTTCGTTTTCTGGGCTTCTGATATTGAGTTACGAATTCTTTCCGTTTTGAATTTATCAAGCATAGTAGTCTTGCTTTGCTGAAAGTTTGGACTTTGCCACCTTCCAGAGATATTGTTTTTTTTATCTAAACGAGAAATAATGGCACCACATACACTAAGTACTATCTGTTTTAAAATATAGTGCAGTCCGATGTTTTTTTAATTACGTTAGAATGGAAAGAGCTAGCGACCTGTATCTTTCAGTTTCGTAAAGTAGACATCGGGGAACATCGATCTACGGTGGAATTAGATTTTTCTGAACAGGTTTACCATAGTGCACTTTTCGGGTGAAAACGTCTGAGCTTGCCATATCAAAAATCTATATAGTGAGATACTGATCTAAATCCATGTAGATATAGAACACATATTACTCTATAACCTGGTGCAAGTTCTAGGCCCCAATCTACCGTGGTTCTTAAGCTACAGGCAATCTCCGGTGACCTACCCATCGGCTAAAATTGAAGTCTGGAAACCTTAAAAACGCCTGAAACACAGGTTTTCGGACACGAGAAATCTCGTGGCAATGTTTGTTTTGTTGTCCGAATTAAAGAAACTTCAAAAGATATGTTTTTTAAAAAATTCAATTTTTCCGCTATGACCGTACTAAAATAAACAGCTTCTAGTAGGGATGTTCGGTTCTCGGTTCTGGAACCGATACCGCGGTTCCGGTTCTCGAATTAGAACCGAACCGGAAAGAACCGCGGTTCCGGTTCTCGACTTAGAACCGAAACAAAAAGAACCGCGGTTCCGGTTCCCGACTTAGAACAGAACCGCAGTTCTCAGTTCTCAGCTTAGAACCGAAAAAGAATTTTTCAGGCACTAACAATTCAACGAAATAAGATTCATTTTATAGTAAACGAAAGGATTCTTTAGGCAAATATATCTTTTTGCAGCTTTGTCAATAGTGTGTTTTCATTTTATTATAAGAAAGGCAAGACAAAAAGATAAGGCAGAAGAAGACAAGGCACCAGTGTAGCTTCAAAGAGCACATTTAGTATCTCTGGAAATCTTTTACATAACAGAGGAAACATGAAACGTGACGCAGTAAAATTCTCTATGTTTTTAAAAGATAAACTATAACGTTTTTTGTATAAACTATAACAACTGCACGCAAGC